GAAATAAGTATTTCTTTCTCCCATCTCTAACTCTCCATGACATTTGTTTCAGAACCTTCACTTCTTGAAGATCATCTCTCTTTAACAGTTTCTCACGTGTAGCCCTCAAAACATTGTCTCTTATAGGCCTTAGAGAAAATTTGACATGAACTTCTCTCGAGAGTTTGTTTCTTCTAGTATAGCTTGAATTGACACTATATATCAGTTCGATCCCCAAGTCTATGGCTTCATTATCTACTCCTAAGAGGTCTGCCAGCATATTGGTCATCAGTTCCTGCAGGTTCTCACTCTTCTCCTCTAATATATTCTGAAATCTTAAGTAATAAGATGCTTTTTCCATCTCTAGTACAGTCACGGCATCCCATGTTGACTTACTTGTTTGTCTGATTAACTGTGTTTCTTTATCTACCATCTCTAGCTTTCCCTGTGTTTGCTGTATTTTTTGTGTATTCTGTTCAGCTTTGAGTTGAACATCAGAAAGCTGAGTTGTTATCTCCTTAATAGAGGTATCCAATTTATCCCATCACTCTTTCTGTTCACTTGACATACTCTCCAGCCTTGTTACCATTGCTTTTTGAGAAGCTTGCATCCTCTCTTGGGATGCTTGCAAAGCTGTTAAGGCTGTCTGTATCACCAAAGTCATCGTTTGCAATTCCCTTAAGCTTTTTGCCATCTCTTCTATCTTAGGTTGGTGAGTTGGGCTCTGAATCGCTGAAGAGGGAGCTGAGGAAGAGGTCTGTGTTTTCCTCATGATGAAAGTTATTCACCAAAAAAAGAGAAAATAATAGAAAAGAGAGCTGAAGTTGGAAGGAAAACTAAAGGGAAAAAGGGGGAGAAAAAAGAAAAAAAAAAAAAACAAGAGCGTGCGGTAATTCCAATATCCACCGGGTGTCAGCAGAAAATCATTGGGGGGGGGGAAGGAGCTTGCAGTAATTCCAATGTCCACCGGGTGTCAGCAGACCACAGTCTTCTCTAACTAGCCTATTGGGAATTTATTTTGGCAGTCATCCAATTTTTTATTTTTTATTTTTTGGCAGAAGTCCCAGAAAGCGAATAGATGGCCAAGAACACAAAAAGCCACTTTCAACAAATTATATTCTGGTATAGCTTAATTCCACCGTAATTGTTTCTTTAGTTTTTGCCCTTGAGGAGGTTTAAGAGACACGATTTCAGCGTTTATACAAGCCTTAAGTTATCTCCCTGTAACGTTAGATTACCACGGGAGGGGGGGGGAGCTTCCTCCCTCCCTCAAAGGGACTTACTTTCTTTGTTCTTATACCAATTAGTATCAAATACAGCTTTTCCACAAATAGTCTTCTAAGAAAGGAAAGCAATGCTCACCCAACAATGATCATAAAATAGAGAAAAACGCCACATAGTACAAAAGTTTCTTGACAGATATCCAGATATCCTTGGCAGGAGTCCAGTATAGAGAAAGATTTGTATCAATCAATTCCACCTTAATTGCTTGTTTTTTTAGTTTAGTTTTTCACCCTGGAGAGATTAGAAAAAGAAAGCCTTTTCTTTGCTTACAAACAGCCCCGTCTCTCTCCTTCATATCAGTTGCCACGTGCACTTCTGCGAAGGAAGGGCTTTCCTTTTTTCTTTCCTTATATCAGTTAGCAAAAACCAAAAAAAAAAAAAAAAACACTGTTCCCATGTGTAATAATGTAAAAAAACCCAGAAAATAACTGTGTCCCAGTAAATCCAACAGCAAATAAATTCCCAAACTAATCTTCTGGCATGTCGGAGACAGATGGGAGGCTGATCTCTTCCCTGTGTTGTCCAGCTGAAAATGTCTGATTCTCCCCAGTAGGCATGGAATTGCCATCCCACACTGCCTAGGAGATTTCTCAAGCACTTATCTTCTGCCCCAACAGGGCTTAGATTGGGATCACGGCCGACCACTGAAGATTTACCAGCGTGATAACGGAGGTTCGTTAATCATGTCTGTTTTGTCTTGACACCATTACCGGAAGCCTGTCCTTGCCTGTCTATGTGCTTCTCTGTGTGTCAATCTGTCTGTGAGACTTTCTGTATTTCTGTGTCTGTTTGTCTCACTGTCTGCCTGTATGTCTGTTTCTGTCTGTCTCTCAGTGTGTCTCTGTCTTTGCCTGTCTTTCTTTCCTTGTCTGTGCACTTGACTGTGCATCTGAATGTCTGTGTATCTGACTGTCTTTCTCTCTGTCGATCTGTCTCTCTGTCTGGGTCTGTCTGCCTGTGTCTTTCTATCCATCTTTGTGTGCTTGTCTTTCTATCTGTCAGTGTCTGTCTCGCTGTCTGTATGACTGTCTGTGTCTGACTTTCTGTCTGTCTCACTGTCTCTCTGAATGTGTGTGTCTGTCTTTCTGTCTGTGTGTGTCTGTCTTTGTGTGTCTGTCTTGTCTGCCTATTTGCTTGTCTGCATTATTGTCTGTCCCCCTCTCTCTATTTGTCTCTATTCCTGTCTCTCTCTCTTTATGTCTGTGCGTCTGTCTGTCTGTATTTTAGTTTCTGTCTGTCTGTGTCTGTCGTTCTGAGTCTGTCTTTCTGTCTGTGTATTTCTGTCTTTCTGTATGTATGTCTGTGTCTGTCTTTCTGTGTCTTATTGTCTGTCTTTGTATGTTTGCTTGTCTGTGTCTGTCAGGACTTCTGTCACTCTGTCTGTGTCTGTCTGCCTGAGTCTGTCTCTCTTTTTCTGTTGGTGTGCTTGTCTTCTATCTGTCTGTGTCTTTCTGTTTAGCTATCTGTATGTCTGTCTGTTTCTGTATGTCATTCTGTCTGTCTGTCCGTCTGTGTCTGTCGGTCTGTCTCTGTCTTTGTATGTCTGTTTGCATGTCTATGTTTCTGTCTGTCTCTCTGTCTGTGTGTCTCTCTCTGTCTGTATGCCTGTCTCTCTGTCTGTCTGTATGAAAGTGTCTGTGTGTCTGTATGTCAGTTTCTGTCTGTCTATGTCTGCCTGTATGTCAGTTTCTGTCTGTCTGTGTCCCTGTCTGTCTTTGTATGCCTGTCTGTCTGTCTGTCTGTGTCTTTCTGTGTCTGTCCATGTGCTTGTCTGTTTCTCTGTCTGTGTCTGTCTGTCTGTGTCTCTGTATTTCTGTGTCTGTCTTTCTGTCTGTCTGTGTCTGTATCTCTTTGTCTATATGTTTTCTTTATGTGTTTCTGTCTGCCTGTGTTTTTCTGCATCTGCTTCTATCTGACTGTGTCTCTTTCTGAGTATGTCTATATCTATATGTGTCTCAGTCTGTATATCTGTCTGTGACTGTCTTTCTGTCTTTGTCTGTGTGCTTGTCTGTTTTTCTGTGTCTGTCTGTCCTTCTGTCAGTATGTCTGTGTCTGTCAGTATGTCTGTGTCTGTCTTTCTGTCTTTTTCTGTCTGAGTGCTTATCTGTGTGTCTGTCTGTCTTTCTAGCTGTCTCTCTGTCTTTGTCTTTATGCCTCTCTTTGTCAATTTGTCAGCTGTCCTTGTCTGGATGTCAGTCTGTCTGTCTCTCTGTATGTATGTATGTCTATGCCTGTCTGTATGTCTGTGTCTGTCTGACTATGTCTGTCTGTCCTTGTCTGTCAATGTGCTAGTCTGTCAATCTGTCTGTGTGTCTTCCTGTCTGTCTGTCTTCTTCTGTCTGTTTGGTTGTCTGTGTTTCTGTCTGTCTGTCTGCCTCTGTCTGTCTGTCTGTACGCTTGTCTCTCTGTCTTTCTGTCTGCCTCTGTCTGTGTCTGTATGTCTTTTTCTGTCTGTCTGTGCCTGTCTCTGTTTTTGTCTTTCTGTGTGCTCGTCTGTGTTTCTTTCTGTGTCTTTCTTTCCTTCTGTTTGCATGTCTGTGTCTGTCAGTACGTCTGTGTCTGTCTCTATTTCTTTTTCTGCCTGTATGCTTGTCTGTGTGTCTGTCTTTCTTTCTGTCTTTCTCTCTGTCTGTCTGTCTCTCTGTATTTGTCTTTATATCTGTCCTTATCTATATGGCTGCGTCTGTCTGTCTTTTTGTATGTGTATCTGTGTCTTTCTGTCTGTTTCTTTCTGTCTGACTTTGTCTGCCTGCGTGCTTGTCCGTGTGTCTGTCTGTGTCTCTGTTTGTCTGTATGTCTGTTTCTTTCTGTCTGTATGTATGGGTCCCTCTGTCTGTCTGTCTTTATGTCTGTCTGTGTCTACCTGCGTCTGTCCGTATGCCTGTGTCTGCCTGCCTGTCTGTGTCTGTCTGTATGCCTGTGTCTGCCTGTCTGTCTGTGTCTGTCTGTATGCCTGTGTCTGCCTGTCCGCCTATATGTCTGTGTCCATCTGTATGTCTGTGTCTGTCCGTCTTTTTCTGTCTTTTTGCTTGTTTATGTGCCTGTCTACCTGTACGTCTGTTTCTTTCACTCTTTATGTATGTGTGTCTCTGTCTGTATGTATTTCTCTGCGTGTCTGCCAGAATGTCTGTCTGTGTGTCTGTCTGTTTCTGTGTGTGTTTGTCTGTGTCTGTATATCTGTATATCAGTATGTCTGTCTCTTCTGTCTGTTTGCATCTCTGTCTGTCTGTGTCTGTATATCTATCTCTGTCCATCTGTTTGTCTGTGTCTGTCTGTCCATGTATCTGATTGTCTGTCTGTGTCTGTCTGTCAGTCTGTGTCTGTCTGTATGTCTATTTCTGTCTGAATCAGTCATCTGTTTGTCCTTTTTTGTTTATCTATGTGTCTGACTGTCTATATGTCTGTCTGTCTGTGTCAGTGTGTCTGTCTGTGTGTCTGTTTGTCTTTATGTCTGTCTCAGTCTGTCTATCTGTCTTTGTCCTTGTGACAGTCTGTGACTGTCTGTCTGTCTGTATCTCTATGTCTGTCTCTGTCCGTCCGTGTGTCTTTCTCGGTTTCTCTCTCGGTTTTTGTGTATCTACCTGTGTCTTTCTGTGTCTCTGTGTCTGTCTGTCTGTCCATATCTATCTGTCTGTCTATCTGTGTATTTTTCTATGTCTGTCCATCTGTCTGTATTTCTGACAGTTGGTCTCTCTGCCTATATGTCTGTGTCCGTCTCTCTGTCTGTGTCCGTCTGTATGTCTGTCTCTGTCTGTCCGTTTTTATGTCTGTCTCTCGGTTTCTGTGTGTCTGTTTGTCTGTGTCTGCCTGTGTCTGTATATCTGTCTCTGTCCATCTGTCTTTCTGTGTCTGTCTGTGTGTCTGTCAGTGTCCATCCTTCTGTCTGTGTATCTGAATGTCTGTCTGTGTCTGGCAGTCTATGTCTGTCCGTCTGTGTCTGTCGGTGACTGTGTTTCTGTCTGTCTGTATCGGTAGGTCTGTCTCAGTCTGTCCGTCTGTGTGTTTTTCTCTTGGTGTCTCTCTGGGGTTTTTTGTGTCTGTCGGTGTCTTTCTGTCTGTGTCTGTCTGTCTGTCTGTATGTCAGTCTCTTTCTGTCTTTCTGTGTCTGTGATTCTCTCTATCTGTGTGTTGTCTGTCTGTGTCTGTAGGTCTGTCTGTGACTGTGTGTCTGTCTGTGACTGTGTGTCTGTGACTGTATGTCTGTATGTCTGTTCATCTGTGTCCTTTTGTGTGTCTGTGTCTGTGTGTCTGTCTGCGTGACTTTGTCTGCTTTTCTATCTCTATATATCTGTCTTTCTGTGTGTCTTGTGTGTCTGTGTTTTTTATCTGTCTGTCCATCTGTCTCTTTCTCTGTCTTTCTGTCTCTGTCTGTCTGTGTCCATCTCTCTCTCTCTGTCTTTATGTCTGTGTCTGTCTGTCTTTATGTGTCTGTGTAGTTGTCTATGTTTCTTTGCGTCTTTCTGTCTCTGTTTTTCTGTCTGTTTTTGTCTGTCTGCGTCTGCGTGTTTTTCTGCCTGTGTGTATGTCTGTCTCTTTCTGTCTGTCCGTCTGTCATTCTTTCTTTCAGTCTCTATGTCTGTCTGTCTGTCTTTGTTTGTCTCCATCTGTCTCTTTCTGTCTGTATGTCTGTCCGTCAGTGTCTCTCTGTGTTTCTATCTGTGTCTGTGTGTTATTCTGCCTGCCTGTCTGTCTGTCCATGTCTATCTGTTTATCTGTGTCTGTCTGTCTTTCTGTCTGTATGTGTCTGTATGTGTCTGTCTGTCTGTGTATGTCTGTCTGTGTTTGTCTGTCTGCTTTTCTGTGTGTCTGCCTGTCTGATTGTCGGATTGTTTGTCTGTCTGTGCATCTGTGTCATTAGATCTGTGTCTGACCGTCTGTCTGTCTGTGTCTATCTGTATGTATGTATGTCTGTGTCCTTATGTTTGTCTGCCTCTGTTTCCCTGTCTTTTTCTGTCTGTTTGCATTTCTATGTGTCTCTCTACCTATATGTCTGTGTCCGTCTTTCTGTCTGTGTTCGTCTGTTTGTCTGTATGTCTGTCTCTGTCTGTCCATCTTTATGTCTGTCTCTCGGTTTCTGTGTGTCTGTTTGTCTGTGTCTGTATGTCTGTATGTCTGTCTCTGTCAGTCTGTATTTCTGTCTGTGTATATCTGTGTGTCTGCCTGTGTCTGTGTATCTGTTTCTGTCCATCTGTCTGTGTGTCTGTCAGTGTCCGTCTGTATTTCTGTCTGTGTATGTCTGTGTGTCTGCCTGTGTCTGTATTTCTGTTTCTGTCCATCTGTCCTGCCTGTCCGTCTGTATATGTCTGTCTCACTGTGTATCTGTCTGTCTGTCTGTGTATGTCTGTCTTTATGTCTCTCTCTCTCTGTTGGTCTGTCTGTCTTTCTGTGTCTGTCCCTGTGACTGTCGGTGACTGTATTTCTGTCCGTCTGTATCTGTATATCTGTCTCAGTCTGTCCATCTGTGTGTCTTTCTCTCGGTGTCTCTCTGGGGTTTTTTGTGTCTGTCTATCTCTATCTTTCTGTCTGTCTGTCTGTGTCTGTATGTCTGTCTGTCAGTCTGTATGACAGTCTCTTTCTGTCTGTCTGTGTCTATGATTCTCTCTGTGTGTTGTCTGTCTGTGTCTGTTTGTGTGTCTGTATATCTGTTTGTCTGTGTCTTTTTGTGTGTCTGTGGGTCTCTCTGTGTCTTTACGTCTTTCTCTTTCTGTCCGTCTGTGTGTCCGTTTGTGTTTTCTCTGTGTCTGTTCATCTTCTGTCTGTGTCTGTCTGTCTTTCTGCATCTCTATATGTATGTCTTTCTGTGACTGCTTGTCTGTCTGTGTCTGTATGTCTGTCTCTGTTCGTCCGTCTTTATGTCTGTCTCTTGGTTTCTCTCTCGATGCCTGTGTGTCTGTCTGTGTGTTGTCTGTCTGTGTCTATCTGTCTGTCTGTGTCTGTATGTATGTCTGTGTCTCTTTGTCTGTATGTCTGTATGACAGCCTCTGTCTGTCTGTCAGTGTCTGTGGCTCTTTCTGTCGGTGTCTTGTCTGTGTCTGTCTGTGTCTTTGTGTCTGTCCCTCTGTCTGTCAGTGTCTGTCTGTCCCTCTGTCTGTCTGTATTTCTGTGTCTGTCTGTATGTCTATATGTCTGTCTGTCTGTCTGTCTGTATGACACCCTATCTTTCTGTATGTGTCTTTGGGTCTGTCTGTCTTTGTCTGTCTTACCATGTATGCATGTCTGTATTTCTGTCACTGTCTTGTAATCTGTATGTCATTCTTTCTGAGTTTGCCAGAGTGTCTGTCTGCCACTGTGTGTCTTTCTGTGTCTGTATGTCTGTGTCCGTCTGTATGTCTGTATGTATGTCTTTCTGTGACTGTCTGTGTGTCTGTCAGTGTCTGTATGTCTGTCTCTGTCTCTATTTCTGTCTCTCGGTCTCTGTCTCGATGTCTGTGTGTCTGTCTGTGTGGTGTATGTCTGTGTCTGTCTGTCTGTCTGCCTGTCTGTCTGTGTCTGTCTGTATATTTCTTTCTGTAAGTATGTCTGTGTTTCTCTGTCTGAATATCTGTTGTTCAGTCTGTTTCTGATTGCATGTGTGTCTGTGTCAGTGTGTATTTCTGTTTCTGTCTCTGTTCCTGTCTTTCTGTCTGTGCCTGTGTGTCTGTCTTTCTTTCTGTGTCTACCTGTCTATCTGTATCTTTCTGCTTGTGTCTGTGTGTCTGTGTGTCTGTATCTGTGATTCAGTCTGTCTCTGTCTGCCTGTATAACAATATCTGTCTTTCTGTATTTTTCTGTGTGTCTGTCAGTTTGTCTCTGTGTCTTTTGGTTTTTTATGTGTCTGTCTGACTGTCTTTCCCTGTCTGTCAGTCTGTCTGTCTGTGTCTGTCTGTCTGCGTTTCTTCCTCTGTGTTTGTCTATATGTCTGTTTCTGTTTGTACGTCTGTCTCTGTCTTACTGCCTGGGTCTGACTTTCTTTGTTGTCTGTCTGTGTGTCTCTCTGTGTCTATCTCTTTGTCTTTCTGTATCTGTCTTTCTTTCTGTGTCTGTCTGTGTCTGTCTATGTGTCTCTCTGTGTCTTTGTTTCTTTCTGTCTTTGTCAGTATGTTTGTACGTAAGTCCTTGTCTGTGCGCCCCTATATCTTTCTGTCTGTGTCTGTGTGTCTGTCTGTTTCTGTGTGTCTGTCTGTTTGTCTGTCTTCTCTCTGTGTGTCTGTATGTCTTTGTCTTTCTTTCTGTTAATCTGTATGTTTCTGTCTATATTTATATCTGTGTCTGTGTATCTGTCTGTCTGCGTGTCTGTTTCTGTCTGTGTGTCTTTCTGTGTCTGTGTTTCTGTATCTCTGAGAGTCTGTGTCTGTCTGTCTGTCTCTTTCTGTCCATTTGTCTGTCTCTGTCTATATATCTGTGTCTGTCAGTCTGTGTCTGTCTGTGTCTGTATGTCTGTATGTCTGTCCCTCTCTGCCTGTCTGTTTGTCTGGTCTGTCTTTGTGTCTGTCTGTGTCTGTCTGTATGTCCTTCTGTGTCTGTCAGTACGTGTCTTTCTTTGTTTTGCGTCTGTCCCTCTGTCTGTGCCTTTCTTTCTGACTGTGTGTGTGTGTGTGTGTCTTTCTGTCGGTATGTCTTTGTCTGCCTGTGTTTCTGGCTGTCTCTGTCTTTCTGTCTATGTTTGCCTGTCTGTGTTTAAGTCTGTGTCTGTCTGCTTTTCTTTATCTATTTCTGTGTCTGTGTGTCTGAATGTTTGTATCAGTCTGTCTGTTTCTGTGTGTCTGTCTGTCTGTGTCTGTCTGTCTGTCTGTGTCTGTTTGTGTTTTTCTCTCAGTATGTATGTCTGTCTATCTGTGTCTGTGTGTGTCTCTGTGCTTTTGTGTCTGTCTTTCTCTGTTTGTGCCTGTTTGTCTTCGTGTCTTTCTGTCTGTCTGTGTTTTGCTGAGTGTCTGTCTGTCTATCTCTGTGTCTGTCTGTGTCTATGTTTTAGTCTGTCTGTGAGTCTGTCTGTATGTCTTCATCATCCTTTCTGCCTGTATGTCTCTATCTTTCTTTATCTGTCCGTCTTTGTATGTATGTACATATATGATCATTCCTGTCTGTCCATCTGTATGTCTTTCTGTTTCTGTCTGTGTGTCTTGCTTTGTCTGTGTGTCTGTAAGAGTGTCTGTGTCTATTTCTCTGTGTGTCTGTTCGTCTGTGTCTGTCTTTCTGTCTGACTGTCTCTGCCTCTCTGTCTGTATTTCTGACTTTGTCTTTCTATCTGTATGTCTCTCCTTCTGTGTCTGTCTATTTGCCTGTCCGTGTCTGTGTGCCTATCTGTGTCTGTGTATCTGGCTGTCTGTGCCTGTGTATCTTTCTGTCCGTGTGTCTGTGTCTGTCTGTGTTTCTGTCTCTGTGTGTCTGTGTGTCTGTCTGTGGCTATGTAACTGTCTGTCTGTCTGTATCTGTCTGTCACTCTGTGTCTGTCTGTCAGTGTCTTTCTGTCTGTATGTCTCTCTCTCTGTCTGTCTGTCTTGTCTGTCTCCATGTTTCTGTCTGTTTTTCTCTGCCTGTCTGTATGTCTGCCTGTGTCTGTCTCTCTGTGTCTTTCTGTCTTTCTGTGTCGGTCTTTCTGACCCTCTGTCTTTGAGTGTCTGTCTTTCTTTGTGTTTTTCTTTGTCTGTCAATCTGTCTCTGTTTTCTATCTGTGTCTGTCTGTCAGTCTTTATGTCTGTGTGCCCCATCTGTGTCTTTGTCTATCTGTCTGTGTCTGTGTGTCCAACTGTTTGTCTGTGTTTGTCTGTCTGTATGTATTTCTGTCTATCTTTGTGTTTGTGTGTGTGTGTGTGTCTGTCTGTGTTTTGCTGAGTGTCTGTCTGTCTGTATCTCTCTGTCTCTATGTGTCTGTCTGTGTGTCTGTTTTTGACTGTACATTCATCTCTTTCTGTCTGTGTTTGTCTGTCTTTCTTTGTCTGTGTGTCTGTCTTTTTGTGTTTGTGTGTCTTTATGTGACTGTCTGTCTATAGTCTGTCTCTCTGTGTCTGTCAGTCTTTGTGTGTTTGTCTGTCTGTCTTTGTCTGTGTTTCTGTCTATCTGTGTCTGTCTTTCTCTGTCTACATGTCCCTCTGTATGTCTGTCTGTCTGTTTTTGTCTCTACGTCTATCTCTGTCTGTCTGTCTTTGTCTGTCTTTGTCTGGGTGTCTGTCTGTCTGCATTTCTTTCTCTCTGTCTGGATGTATTTCTGTGTTTCTCTGTGTTTCTGTTTCTTTCTGCCTGTCTTTGTCTGTCGGTTATTCTGTCTGTCTGTGTCCATCTGACTCTATGTGTCTGTCTGACTATCAGTCTGTCTTTTTTCTATGTCATTCTATCTGTCTGTGTCTGTTTTTATCTGTGTATGTCTCTCTGTCTGTCTGTCTATGTCTGTCTGTCTGTCTGTCTTACTGTCTCTCTGTCTGTATGTCTGTGTCTCTCTGTCTGTCTGTATGTCTGTCTTTCTTTATCTTTCTGGGAGTTTGTCTGTGTCACTGTCTGTTTGTGTCTCTCTCTGCATTTCTGTCCGTCTCTCTGTCTGTCTGTGTCTGTCTGTGTCTGTCTGTCTTTGACTGTCTGTGTACTTGTCTTTGTGTGTGTCTGTCTATTTCTGGCTATCTGTATGTGTCTGTCTGTCTCTCAGTCTTTCTTTTTGTCGCTTTCTTTCTGTATCTGTCTGTGTCTGTCTGTCTTTCAGCTTGTCTGTGTGTCTGTCTGTCTTTGTCTTTCAGTGTGCTTGACTAAGTGTCTGTCTTCCTGTTCGTGTCTATCTATCTGTCTGTCTGTATGCCTGTCCCTGTGTCTGTCTGTATGTCTGTTTCTCTCTGTCTGTAACTGTCTGTCTGTGTCTGTCTGTCTATCTGCATGACTGTGTCTGTCTGTATGTCTGTTTCTGTCTGTCTGTGTGTCTGTCTGTTTCTGCCCGTATGTGTGTCTCTGTCTGTCTGTCTTTATATCTGTCTGTCTGTATCTGTCTGACTGTCTGTAGGTCTGTGTCTGTCTGCCTGTTGTTTTCTGTCTGTGTGCTTTTCTGTGTGTCTGACTTTCTCTTTCTGTATGTGTGTCTGTGTCTGTCTGTGTGTCTCTCTTTCTGTATGTCTTACTGTCTGTGTCTTTATGTCTGACTCGGTCTGTATCTGTCTTTCTGTGAGTTTCTTTCTGTCTGTTTCTGTCTGGGTCTGTCTGTCTGTGTCTGTCTATCTGTATCAATCTGTTCGTCTGTCCATCTTTGTCTGTGTTTCTATCTATGTCTGTGGGTCTGTCTGCCTGTGTGCCTTTCTGTCTCTGCCTGTGTGTCTGTCTTTGTCAGTGTTTTTGTCTGTCTCTCTGTCTTCCTGTGTCAGTCTATATGTCTGTCTAAGTCTGTTTGTCTATGTCTGTGTGTCTGTGTCTGTCTGTGTGTCTCTATCTGTGTGTCTGTCTGTGTGCTTCTCTGTGTGTCTGTCTGAGTGCCTATCTGTATGTCTGAGTCTGTCTGTCTTTTTCTGTGTGTCTGTGTGTCTTTCTGTCTGTGTGTGTCTGTATGTCTGTGTGTGTCTGTTCTTCTGTTTGTCTCTCTGTATGTCTGTGTTATCTGTCTGTCTATATGTGTGTGTGTGTGTCTGTCAGTCTGTATGTCTGCCTCTGTCTGTATTTCTGTGTCTATCTGATTATATAAATGTCTTACTGTCTCTATGTTTGACTCTCTGTCTTGTCTGTCTGTCCTTGTCTGTGTGCTTATCTGTCTGTCTGTCCGCCTCTCTGTTTGTCTGTGTCTGTCTGTCTGTCTTACTTTCTCCTTGTCTTTAGGTATGTATGTGTCTTTCTATCTGTCTGTTTTGTCCGTCTGTGTGCTTCTCGTTGTGACTGTATGTCTCTGCCGCCGTTCTGTCAGTCTCTCTCTCTCTGTCTGTATGTTTTTGTCTGTCTGTTTCTGTCTCTCTGTCCTTGTCTATATGCTTGCTTGTCTGTGTGTATGTCTCTCTGTCTGTCTCTCTGTCAGTCCATATGTCTGTATTTGTCTGTGTCTGTCTGTCTTTGCCTCTCTATATGCTCGTCTGTGTGTATTTCTGTCTGTCCGTGTCTGTCTGTCTCTGTCTTTGTGTCTGTATGCCTGCCTAACTGTCTGTCTCTTTCTTTCTGTCTGTATTTCTGTGTCTGTTTGTCTATCTGTGTGATTCTGTCATTGTGTGTCTGTCTTTTTCTGTCAGCCTTTGCCTGTATGTCTGTGTCTGTGTGTCTTGCTGTCTTTGTCTGTGTGCTTTACTGTGTGCTTGTCTGTCTGTCTGTCAGTTTGTCTCTGTGTCTCTCTGTGTCTGTCCTTTTTTCTGTCTGTGTCTGTCTGTGTCTGTGTTTCTGTCTTTCTGTGTGTCTGTCTTTTTGTCTATCTTTCTTTCTTTGTATGTATGTATGTTTGTATATCTGTGTCTGTCCATCTGTATGTCTTTCTGTCTGTACCTATCTATGTGTGTCTGTGTCTGTCTGTGTCTGTCTGTGTCTGTCTTTCTATCTTTGTCTGTGTGTCCTTCTTTTTGGCTTTGTCTGTCTGTCTCTCTGTGTCTGTTTGTCTGTGTTTCTATCTGTGTCTGTCTGTATGTATATATGTCTGTGTCCATCTATATTTCTTTCTTTGTCCGCTTGTTTGTCTGTGTTTGTCTGTGTGTCTGTCTTTGACTTTGTGTCTCTGTCTGTCTGTCTGTCTTTCTGTCTGTGTCTGTCTGTGTCTGTGTGTCTGTGTATGTTTGTGTCTTTCTGTCTGACTGTCTTTATATGTCTGTATGTCTGCCTTTTTCTTTCTTCCTGTATGATGTCTTTCTGTGTCTGTCTTTGTGTCTGCCTGTGTTTGTGTATCTGTCTGTGTCTGTCTGTGTGTCTGTCTGTATCTGTGTATCCTTTTGTCTTTGGGTCTTTGTCCATCTTTGTCTGTCTGTGTCTGTTTGTCTCTACGTCTGAGTATGTCTTTCTGTGTCTGTCTGTATGTCTGTCTGTCTGCTCTGTTTGTCTCTACATCTGAGTATGTCTTTCGGTGTCTGTCTGTCTGTCTGCTCTGTTTGTCTGTCTGTCTGTCTATCTGTCTTCCTCTATGTCTGTATGTGTCTTTCTTCCTGGGTCTGTCTTTCTGGTTCTGTCTTTCTGTCTGTCTTTACGTCTGCGTCTGTGTTTCTGTCCGGTTCTGTGTCTGTTTGTGTCTTTCTGTCTGTTTCCTTTTCTGTGTGTCGGACTGTTTGTATCTGTCTGCCTGTCTATCTGTGTATGTGTGTCTGTCTGTCTTTGTCTGTTTTTCTGACTGTCTTTGTCTGTCTATCTGTGTCTGTCTGTGTCTGTCTGTCTGCCTATCTTTGTTTCTTTCTTTCTGTCCGCCTCTGTCTGTTTGTCTGTGTCTTTCCGTCTATATGTCTGTGTCTGACTTTGTTTTTTGTCTGTCTCTCTGTGTCTGTCGATCTGTCTCTCTATGTCTATATGTCTGTGTCTGTCTCTTTCTGTCCCTCTGTGTCTGTCTGTCTCTCTGTGTCTGTCTTTCTGTGTCTCTCTGTCTTTCTGTGTCTGTCTTTCTTTCTTCTGTGTCTGTCTTTCTGTATGCCTGTCTCTTTCTATCTGTTTTTCTGTCTATCTGTGTCTATCTGTTTCTGTCTGTGTTTCTCTTTGTGTCTGTCTTTTTGTCTATCTGTATCTGCCTGTCTTTCTGTGTCTGTGTCTTTCTGTAGGTCTGTCTCTGTCTGTCTCTGTCTTTCTGTGTGTCTGTGTCTGTGTGTCTTTCTGTCTTTGTGTCTATCTCTCTGCCTCTGTCTGTGTCTTTCTGTATTTCTGTCTGTATCTCTCTGTCTTTCTGTATGTCTGACTCTTTCTGTCTCTATGTCTGTCTTTTTTTGTTTTGCGTATGTCTCTCTCTCTGTGTCCTTCTGTCTGACTGTCTGTCTGTGTATTTCTGACTTTCTCTCTGTATGTCTTTTTCTGCCTGTCAGCCTGTCTGTCTGTCTCTGGTTTTTTTTTCTGTTTCTTTCTGTCTTCTTTATGTGTCTGTTTGACTGTCTGTGTCTGCCTGTCTGTGTCTGTGTGTCCGACTGTATCTGTCTGTCTGTCTCTTTCTGTGTGTTTGTCTGTCTATCTCTGTTTGTCTGTCTGTCTGTGTCTGTTTGTCTCTCTTTGGTTGTCTTTCTTTCTGTCTGTCTGTCTTTCTGTGTCTGTGTGTTTTTCTGGGTGTCTGTCTTTGTCCATCTGCATCTCTCTGTCCTTGTCTGTTTGTCTGCCTGTCTGTCTTTGCCTGTCTGTCTGTCTGTGTCTGGCTGACTGTCTGTCTTTCTCTCTGTCTGTGTCTGTCTGTATGTCTGTATGTCTGTCTGTGTCTATCTGTGTTTATTTGTCTGTCTATCTGTGTGTCTGTCTGTTTCTGTCTGTTCATCTGTCTCTGTCTTTCTGTGTCTGTCTGTATGTCTGTGTCTGTGTGTCTGTCTGTCTTTGTGTCTGTCTGTGTCTGTGTGTCTGTCTGTGTGTCTCTCTGTGTGTCTCTCTGTGTCTGTCTGTCTGTCTGTATCTGTCTGTCTGTGTCTTTGTGTCTGTCTTTCTTTGTCGGTCTGTCTGTCTGTGTCTGTCTGTGTCTTTCTATCTTTGTCAGTATGTCTTTCTTTTTGTGTTTTTCTGTCTGTCTGTCTGTTTGTCTGTCTGTTTCTGACTGTGTCTCTTTTTCTGTCGTATATCTAACTCTTTCTGTTTGTCTGTATGTCTCTCTGTGTCTGTCTAGGTGTCTTTCTGTGTCTGCGTTTCTTTATGTATGTGTCTGTCTGTGTGTCTGTCTTTGTTTTTGTGTCTGTCTGCCTTTTCTTTCTGTCTGTACAT